GAGCTGTAGTCCCACCCCCCCGCGCCTAGTTCTCCCCTGGGCTGGGTACCGCCGCCCGGACCTCTCATTCACTGCAAGGAAATCTATGCTTTAAAAAAACTTTATTTTAAAAAAAAAACTTAAAAAACTCTAAGAAAAAAAAAACTTTAAAAAAGCCTTAAAAAAACTTTTTTAAAAAAGTTAATTTTTGCTTGTATGCATTTTTTTTTCCTCGTGTTTAATAATCTGATGTTTATTTGCTCTTACAGCCTCAGTAAAAAAATGCCCTTCCAGAACACTGGAGCAATAATTAATACCTCCGAAGGGTGTCTGGGCTGTGTCACATTCGCTGTCTGAAAACAAAACTGACTTTTCGTAGTGCTGGCTCAGCGTGAGTAACAGCTCCCTGCCTGCCTGTGGGGCTGCTTCACCTCCCTTGTCATGGTGGAGGCAGCTTGGTTTTTCTCTTTCATGCAGGGCTCAAAGCTGGAAGTACCTCTGTGGCTGGCAAAAGGTCTGCAGGACAGCAAAAGGAGAATAATTTCTGTGGAGCTGCCCAAGATTTACAAGGAAGCCTGGAGGACGGTGTTCAGCGCTGATGCCAACGTGGTCGATCTGCATAAAATGGGGCCATACTACTACGGGTTTGGCTCCCAGCTCCTGAATTTTGACAATCCAGAGAATCCCGATATCGCTCAGACTATCCTGCAGGCAAGTAACTAAGGCATGAAATTTGGTTTTAGGTTTTTCCGTCTGCCTCTTGTTCCCAGCTGACCCTCAACCTTAAGGAAAAATGTCCTGGTTTAATACAGGTGATTTCTGGACTGAATATAGATTTCTACTTCAATGACTTTTATGACAGCTGTACAGTGTGCGTGACAGCCTCGAGTGTGCATCCAGGAGAGTAATTTTAACTTGGAGTTTCCACACTGTAAATATAAAACCCTGTAAAGTAGGACTAGATGAGATGTAAGGTTATTTAACTGTGCCCGTGCTGCAAGGCAGAATTAATTCATCCTCTGCTATTTCTATTTTTCTACCCGGTTCTTAAAGTTCTGTAATGAGACTTCACGCTGCTCTAGGCGATCTCTTTCAGTGCTTCATCATCCTGGGCTTGGAAGGTTTCCTCTCATGTCTAAACTAAAGCTCCTGCACAGCAATATAAGCTCTGCTCTCTTTGCCTCATACAAAGTAAATGCTGACGATAGATTATTCTCTTCCTTCCTGCAGCCGTCCCGATTTGCCGTCTCGTTGCGGGTCACGCTTTCTAACCTCTGCTTGTCCTTTTTCGTGCGCCGCTGGTATTTTTCCAGTTGATCTGCATCCGCTGTGACGTGCGGTGCCCTGAGCAGCGTTCGGGCTCCCGCTCAGGAGCGACACTGAGGAAAACAAAACGACCACTTGTGTGAATTCTGCGAGCTGCGATGCTCTTCGCTCATCGTGGTGCAGCACCTTGTTTTTCGCGGCAGTTTGTGTGTGCTTGGTTTGCAGCCTGCAGTGGGAGGGCACAGGGCAATACGCAGTCCCTCCTGCATTCGTACGGTTCCCTATTTCTTCCTTAATGCAAAACCTTCCGTTAGTCCAGCTGAATTTACATCCCGTTGTTTTCATGCCATCTTTCTCATTAGTTATGAACTAAAAGTTCTCCCCGACATGCGTGTGGTCATCCCTCCTCCTTCTCTTGTGTGTCTTTTGATAATTTTGTAAGCATAATTCCTGTCCCTTTAGTAAGCTTATTGATTAATATATCAAACAGCGCTCGGTTCCAGACAGACGCCTGTTGAACTTCACTCTGTATCCTCGCTCCCGACGGGAGCTCTGGGTAATTGTCTTTAGTGACCACCTACGGGCGGTTTAGCTAAATCTTGTAAGAATGTCCCCTCTCTGCTCCTTTCCCTCCCTTTCCCCCCGAGTTTGTCCTTGGCAAGTCCACGTTGGCTGTTACTCTCCTCTATTTTCTTGCAGAAGTTTATCTGTAGTTTATATGTTCCAGTGTGTTTCCAGGAATCGGTACTGATGGATCTGTAATTCCCTGCCTCTTCCTTCCTCCCTCTCTCTCTCTCTTTTAAAAGAAAGATACCAGCTTTGCCGGGTTCCGGACTTGTGCTCTCCTTGAGCTTTTAAAGATAACCACTAACAGCTCTGAGATTTCTTGAGCCAGCTCTCTAAGTAGTCTGAGATGATTGCTATTGACTTTTTATTTTTTTTTTCTTTCTTCATTAAATGAGGGCTGATGCAGAGAGGCTTTAAAACGCTGCTGCTTTCTTGGAGTTGTCCACTGAAAGCTTTTTTTTTTGCATTGAGGAGGTGACCACACCTTGTCTTTTCTCTTTCTGCTAATGGACATCTTAGGGGAAAAGCCGCATTGGCGTGCATTGCTTGTTGACAGAAAGATCAAAGCATGCGAGGTCTGCTTTCGCTTTATTGAAAGCAAGCAAGAGGGGAGTTTTGCCAATTTGAAAAATGAACAAAGCACCAAAAAAACTCATTCCCCTCCCAAATATTCAGGCGATGTGAAGTGTAACTATTTGGTGGCAAAGCCAAAGTGAGAGTTTTTATATTTGTTTCCTAAGTAAATCTCTAAATTCTGATGATTCTGAAATCAGCTTCTGAAATAACAAAGCACAGTTTTCAGAATTTTTACTTTTTTTTGTTTTTTTTCTTAATTCTCAAAAGCAAAAGTAAGCAGGGAAATAAAAATCCTTAAATATGTCGTGTTGCTTAACTTCTTAAAATGCTATTTATTAGTTGTCGGTTTGGTTTGGTTTTGTTTTTTTTTTTACTTTTTTAGTGGTTAAGAATATTTTCAGCGCACTGGACGCTTTACAGCCACGGCTTTGACTTAACTTCCAGGTCGTTCACAAACCACAGCTTGTTTGTTCCTGCAGCAGCTGCCGCGTTCATCCCCCCACCCTCCGCTCGACAGCGATGGCCGCTGGTGGAGCGAGAGGGAACAGATTGCAGTTGTGTTCCACCTTGTCGCCTGCTCAAGCCTCTCGTTAGGAAGCAGCCAAAGATCTCATTCCATGCTTGCTTCCCACCCGGTGTATCAGGCTCCTGCTCTCCCAGCTCAGGCAGGAGGCCAGTTGTCTTTGTATCCCCGATTAGCAGTTGCTCCGGTGTTCGCAGACCCTCGGCGAGTTGTGAGCTAGAGCCTTTGAGTTTTTGGTCTTGAAAGCTCAGGCCTCTTGCGTTTGAGCTGGAGAAGCCGCTGCGTTACCCATCAGTAATTCTGCTTATCTTCTTTAGACGTTCATCAGCCGCTTCCGTCGCATCATGGACTCCTCCCAGAACGCCTACAACGAAGACACGTCGTTTTTTTTGAGTTGGAGCGAGCCTTATTTCGAGCTGGTCAGAAAGGGCTGAACGACTTCCAGTGCTGGGAAAAGGGACAGGCCTCTCAAATCACAGCTTCCAGTCTGGTCCAGAATTACGGGAAAAGAAAGTTCACAGAAGTGGAAGGTTAAAAGCCAAAAAACCACGCGGCTACGGTGGAGGACAGGTTTACAGTCTGTCTGTCACAGAAGAGAAAGATGAATTGGCTTTGGGGAAGGACAAGTGCCCTGCCCGTTAATGGGAGTTCTCTGTAACATCTTTGGGTTAGGCTAGTGTAGATCTTAAAGGCGGACAGCAAAGGTGTGAAAAATAGAGCCACATCACATCGCTGGATAGCTTTACAGCTTGCTCATACCACTCCTGAGGATTTGAGGTTAAAGTGTTTGCTAGCTGCCCGATACGGTAGGAGAGGATTTTTAAAAAGGGATAATAAATTTTCATTATTCTTTATCTTCCAAATTGATATTTACAATACCAAATCGGTTTGGAAAAATGTGACTCTATGTATTTCGTCTCACCGTTCCCATTCCAGCTGCCCGGAAACAGCTGTTTCCAGGTTCCCCCTTCTTCAGAGAGCCCCGATGAGGTGCCAAAAAATGTGGTACCAACTGCATTGGCTTTTTCCCGTTTCTTACACGTGGAGGTGGAATGGTTACTCTCTGTGAGGCAGGAATGGTTTTCTTTGCTGACTTTTGTACCGGCATTTGTGCCCCGGGGAAAAAACCACCTCCTCTGAGCCACGGCCCTGTCCGCTCTCTCCCTTTAAGCCCGCGTGGGTGCAGTGCTGCGTGGGGTGGAGAGTGTCCTTGTCTGAGGTGGGGCACTCCTGCGATGGGTGCATCTGTCTGACTGGCATTAAGCTCCTCTGCTTGTTTTAGAGAAGAGGCAATGAAGAGTTGGCCCGGGCCGGGTCAGAAGCAGCAACTCTAATAGAAGTTTTTCCCCCGTTATCAGCCTCTGAGGCATCTGTTTTCCCAGGAGAAGTTCTTTGGATTACTAGATTTGCGTAGTGGAAGGAACAGAGCGTGTGAACTGAGCTTCCTTCCTTCTGATCCTGGCAAAATGATCCCGGTAAATGCCATTCTTGCCAGCAGGAGCGACTGTCGTTGGGAATTGCTCAGCAGCACAGTGGTTGCCATCCTGTGGGGATGCCGTTAAACCAGGATTATCTGAAGTCCTGTTGGAGTGGAGACAGAAAACAGATGGTTAGCCCTGCAGGACTTAGTTCCTGCAGTCGCCAGGGTGTAACCCTTTGGGAGCAGGTGTTGCATCTTAGGGGGCTTCTAGGTGTCTGTGGAAGGTGGACCTCGCAGAGTACCTCAGCGGAGGAGCCAGATCGGGATGGTACCAAGCGCTTCCTCTTCTGTGCGAATCGCTGGGAGCTGACAGCAAGATCCAGGTCTCGGAGGAGTTCGTACCGGGCTCACAGATGCACCTGGGTGTTGGATACTTCAAACTAGAAACGCCAGGTACAAAGGGCGCGTGGCCATTCCTTGGCTAGAGATGTCAGTTTGCTTTTCCTTTGGGCTCCAACTTTGAAACGCTTCATTTTTCCCTCTGTGTTATTTCTGGGAGGTTTTCATAACGTAGAGTCTTCCTGCATCCCAGTCCCCGAGAGCCTTGGCATCTCCACCTGAGACTTAACTGGAAGTATTTCAAGCATGTGGCAAACCAAATGTTGCTGCACGCGATGACTTAAGGACACCTCCGCGTTTTCGTGCAGCTTTTGTCGTCGGTTTTTGCCTCTTTATGTGGAATAAATATCTTGTAGGGCGATGCTCGTGGTGTAAAATGCCTGTTCTTGAGAGCTCCGCAGCAGAAGCATTAGCCCTGGATCAGAAAGGGCAGGTCTCTAGGCAGCTCTGGCGGCGATGGGTAACGCAGCCCTGCTTATGTTGTTCCTCTTCTCTTAGCGGCCGTCTCTGCGTTGGTGCTGTGCGGCAGCGGGGACTTCGTGGAGCGCGTCACAACCGGGGTCGGTGCTCCAGCGTCGCGGGGGGAGCACGTTCCGGCCCCTCTGCGATGAGAAGCGCTTTTGACTTGGAAGAGTTCCTTGAGTGAGATGGTGGCTTTGAGATCGAGTTGGTTTATAACCAAAATGGCCAGTTCACGGATTTCAGTGACTCCCCAAACTCCTTTTCCTACCTCTGTAAGGGTGTTTTTCTTCTCTGCTGCCGGGTGCAAATATCCGAGCAGACGGTTGCTCGTTTGCCAAGATTCTTTGCAGCTCTTCTCGGCGGGGAGAAAAAATCACTGAAGTAGTCCCCAGTGTCACTGCCTTTTTGTGAGCAGGCGATGCCACTTCTAGTGACTCTTGAGTGTTTAGGAATAAACACCAATATGACCCTTAAAAAAATCTGATCCTGAAATTTTAAATTACAATATTTGGTTAGATTTGATATTCTGTTGATTTTTTTTTTCTTTTTCTTTGTGTTTTTTCCTTGCTGGCTGGAAAGCTTTTTTTTTCTGTCTAGAAATACAACAAAAGAGTGCTTTGTACTTTTTATGAGCACAAACTGTCCTTTATGATTGTACCAAAGCAAGCTATAAGCTAGAGGAGTTTGAACTTTTGTATTTTCAGAATGGCACGATAAATCCTCATTACAGAACTCCACAAAAAAGGTCTGAAAAGGACATTTAAGTGTCATTTCTCCCCACATCCCTCAGCTTTTAAACTGGAGGACTAGTGATGCTTGTGAAAAGCAGTCCATAGACACATTTTACAGTATTGTCACAATGGTTTTCATTGAATTCAAATATGAAATAGGCAAAATTGGAGATGCTGATGAGTTATTTGTTCATGTAAGAATATTTGTTCGGGTTTTAACGGCCTCTTTTTGAGAAGATGGATGAGACTGACCTGACCCCTAAAGCACGAGACTGGATTTGTTGATCCTTATGGGCCCCTTGCAAATTGAGATATTCTGGGGGTTGACCCTCAGGTACAAACAGCTCTGCATTTTTGCTCTTTCTCACCTATTAAAAGAGCCTTTTGCTCAGCATTTGGGTTGCTCTCCTTTGCTCTAAACAATGTCTTAGTTTGTCCCTGGCAGCGATTTGTTTTTGCTCAGCAGAACGAAGCGGTTGGTTGCTCCTGCCCGCCTGGAAGCCATAGGTGGGGTTGTTTGGACCGACGGCAACCAGGAGGAGCCGCAGCAAGAAATGTTTTCAGAACTGGCGCACGGTGCCACTGCGTGTGATTTTTATGAGAAGACCAGTGGTGCCTGGCTGAATCAGGAGTGCAAGCCTTTCTGATCTCGATCGGTGAGCAACCATTCCAGGAGCTTCGTTCAAAATTCTAACCGAACCGGCTGCTTAACAGAGATGTGAGGTGATCAGCAGAGGCACAGTGTGAATGCTTTCTTCACGCAGACCTGCTTCTGGGCCCAGACGGGCTTTTTTTAAAACATGCTGTCTGGTAGCACAGCATATGGCTCAGGAGTTGGTGGTTTTATTTTAAAAACTAGCTATTCGTCCCGTGCTGCCTCTGCCTGGCAGGAGGCAATTCAAAGCTCTTCCTTGCCTCAGTTTCCTTTTCTGACAAGCACAGGTGAACTCGCCCTTATTAAGGGCGTGTTTTGCGCTCTGGGTTGTAGGCAGTGTTTTTGTTGGAGCAAACAGCCAGGTTTTCCTAGCTCTGCTGCATCTGCCAGAGCTCAGGTGCTAAGCAAGTGCCGGAGCTGAAAGATTCCCATTTTCAGAAATCACTCGTTTCCTCGATCAGTGCCATTAAACCCTTACTGCCAAGCTCTTTCAAGACTCACGTACCTGATAATTTATAACAATAAGTGCTTTCTCTCCTGCCTGAGCAGCCTCTTGGCCCCGAGGGAGTGGCTGAGCGTGGAGTGCTAAGCTCACATTTCTCCTCTGCTTTCCTGGTCGTACCCGCTCAGAAGCGCTTTCACTAGAGCCAGTGGCAACCTGTGAGCAGAACTGCTGGTGGAACTTTGTGCAAATACTGGAGGGAGGAAAACAAATTGTCCTGGCTTCCTCGTAAAGAAGCTGATAAGGGGTCTGGAGAACAAGTGTGCTGGGGAGCGGCTGAGGGAGCTGGGGCTGCTCAGCTGGAGCAGAGGAGGCTGAGGGGAGACCTCATCGCTCTCTGCGACCACCTGACAGGAGGAGGTGGTGAGGTGGGAGTCAGTCTGTTCTCCCAAGTAACAAGCAACAGTACAAGGGGAGGCGGGCACAAGTTGCACCAGGAGAGGTTCAAATTGGATATTAGGAAAAATTCCTTTTCCAAAAGAGCGGTGAAGCTCTGGCACCGGCTGCCCAGGGCAGTGGTAGAGTCCCCATCCCAAGAGATGTTCAAAAACCATGTAGATGTGGCACTTTGGGACATGATTTAGTTGTCATGGGGGTGCTGGGTTGATGGTTGGACTAGATGATCTTTGAAGTCTTTTCCAACCTCCCCGATTCTATGATTCTGAGTACTTGCCTTGAGTCGAATCTGCTGACTTTGAGCTGCTTTTTGCATCTGGGCCCTGGGGGCTCTGGGGTGCGGGAGAGCAGCCTGCTGGCCTTTGTTCTTCAGCTGAACCTGGCACGGTGTCAGCAGGACCCTGTGTGAACCCGTTAATGTCACGTGCACATGGCTACAGCGAGGATGCCGACCTGCTGCGACTGGCCTGGAGCTGAACATACGTGTTACCGGTGCGTTGAGCTTTTCTATAATTTATCATGTTGTGAAGAGATCGATCCGATCTCTTCAGCACTGAGATACTTCTGCAATGAGTCGGGGTCAGTGAGGCTGGAAGCTTCATGTCACGCTCGCTGGTCGCACGATGGCGTCGCCTGGGCTGACGTTAGATGTGTGGTCAGGTTGGAGCTCTGCACCCCGCTGGTGTTACGTGGTTTCAGACACCGTCTTGCTCCTTTTCTGCCAGGGTCTGTGGTAACCTCTTTGCTGCTGGCCGAGGTGGACATGTTGGGTTTTCCCAGGAGTTCCTAGCCGGGTTTGAAAGGGTGACCCCGGGAAGGTGAGGGCCTGTGCATGCACCGCTGAGCTTAGGGCATTGTTTTTGTGCAGGTCCTACCATAACTGCTTTAAATCGTAGGGAGTGAGAACCTTGCTTGGCCTGTGACATCGAACTGGGGGCCTGCGTGGCTTCCTGGTGCATCTGCCAGGCAA